TACTCGAGCTTGGGTTATACACTTAGTATTCCGAAAAGGTCGCACTGTGGTTAGCAAATCATATGATTGTAAGAAATTCATCCTCATACATCTCACAATTTGTCGATGAAAACTTGTTAAACAAAATATAAAAAAATACCTTGTCTTCATTGTGTAAACACCGATTTTCACCAAGGGTTAGAGGATGAATTGTGTAAATGTTCATGCAATGATCGCTTTCGAGCAGAATAAGCAACAGATAACGAGTAAGTGATGAAATCAAGTAGGGGAGCAATCGTCGTTTTGAACGATAGGGTGTGACGAAATTGCTCATGCAACATGAGTTTTTTTCGATGAAATTCTTGCGCAAATTTTTCCCTCGCAGTAGGTTAGATTTTCTTTCTTGCCTGCTAGCTTTGCATTGACTTTTTTTAAAGAAATTGTTTGAGTTCAAGATCTCTAAATTTTTTTTTTTTAAATTGTTTGAGCTCAAGATCTCTAAAAATTTTCCAACCACTCCTGACCTCTTGTATGGTTTACCCTAACTTGTAAGTGGTAAATTTTATGGGAGGTGAAGAACATTCTCAAACATGCCGTCAATAGAGTGGTCATTTTATTTACTCACTTAACTCGTACCCGCACTATCTGTGCTATTTTTCTCTATAATTGGTGCAGTGTATCGAGGACTTTAATCTTTTATTACAAAGATATGTTAGAAAAGTTAACGGTGCGAACTTAACCCGGCAATTCTCAGCTTTTTCGTCGTTACCGAAAGAATCCAGTTGAATGCAGCGCATGCGTAGTGTAAAAAAACTGCGATGAAATGGAAAATTGCTTTCTCGGAAATATGCCTATTTCTTGAGAACCACTCAATTGAATTTCGCGAAATTTGGCAGGAAAATACTTTAGGGAATAAGTAACTGGATTATTGAAAAAAGTTTATTTTCAACAAAGGAAAGCCTAGATAATCAAGTGAATCTTCAACGAGGGATAATTAAAGATCTCTCTGTTAAATTGTTAGCAAAATGGTGTTAACTTGTGTGTATCGTTACAAGTTCGTAGCATGCAAATTATAAAGAAAATCTAATGACTAGATTTTGTACAAATAAACAAAACCCATTTTAAAGGCCTCTTTATAATTATCCATGGCAACGGCACATACGTCACCTCAACTATCAAAAAAACAAAGTTTGTGCTTTTAACTTACTCGCCGGCAGTTTTGGCGACCGAGAGATCAAGGGTTTTAGAGAAAATGGCGAAAGAAACACAGGTATCAAAAACTGTGTTCAGCCACCTTAAGAAGGTAAATTATATTTTTTTCAGTTTTATGCAGCTTCCAAGTATACAACGTTACGTAAGAAATGAACAAAATGGATCAAACGTTCTGTAGTTCAGGCCCCGGTTCTTTGAAGGTTGGATAACACTATTCACTGGATAAAACTCTATCCGGTGGATAACGCTATACGTTTTGCTATCATTTATCCGTCGGATAGCAATTTATCCGCTGGATAGCGTTCTCAAGTGAATTAAGGCCTGGGTCCCATGACTATTTTCTTTATATTTCACAAAGTTGTTCATAACTTCCATGAAACTGGACCGATCTCAGTGAAACTTTGCCAAAAGTCAAGACTTAACCTTTTTTAACGATTCGTGACGTCAAGGAAACGGTGTGAAATTTGATACCTCTAAAACCTTGCAGTTTAAGCGCCGAAAATGCTGTGTGCCATTACGAGCAAATTCCCACTATGTATTCCCTCTATAACAGTGAATAAACCGCTCATTCAAATCAGTGGAAAGATTATCTTAACAAAAACGCCTGGAATGAGAGTAAAACTTCTGTTATTTTTGGTAGACATTCGATCGTGTTTTACTTAGTTCAGATTTCGCCTGGAACGAAGTGAAATTTCAGCCATGTTCGGCAAAAATATTTGAAAACAATGCAAAACAAAACAAACAAACAAACAAACAAAA